CCAGCGCCAGAACACGCGTCTCGAGACGGACCGGCGTCTTCTCCGGGGGCAGGCCGAGCCCATCGGCGCCAAGAAATGGCTAACGCAGGAGTTGATGGACCATGTGCTGGACTTGATCCAGGCCGAGGGTCGGTTTGCAGCTTCCAGCGTCTCCTCGGACGGCGCAACTAGCAGATTGCCTGCCGAGGAAGACCTTATAGTCAAGCTCTGGACCCTGCAGCAGACGTTGACTGCCTCCGACTGCCCGCCCGACAGGATCCAACCAGCTCTCCAGTATGTGCTTGATATTGCGCCCAACATCTCCCCCACTGTCAAGAGCGACTCTGTCTGGGGACTTGATGAGGTGCTGGACTGGCTGGCCAGGGAGTGCGACAAGAATGAGCTCCCAGATTACACTACGGGACGGAGCAAGACGCTCCCGAAATCACAAGCCGGTAAGACTCCCCCCAGCAGGCTTTAGTGGCTGTCAAGACTAACAAAATGCCCAAAGATACGCCCCAGGATAGTCCCGCCGGGTCTGGGAGGACAACACCATTTCTCGAAATCGATTCCAAGTCCGGCTCCAAGCTCAAGAACGGCGCCGCCAACTCCCGATCCCCACGAGGCCCGTCCCCAAGACACCCCGCCGTCAAATTCGACGAAGACATTGAACCCGATCAGCTGCTCCCATTTTATCTCGAGACCAAAGAGAAACTCTTTGCTATTCAACGGCCACGACAGGATGTACCCAAGGGCAGGGGCAAGGCGGACGCGTCCCAGATGGGTCCGGAGGAAGCCCTGCTTCTTGCCAAGATCGATCGCGTTGAGAAGGATGTCCTGTTCGACAAATACGTCGGTGAACAGGAATGGAGGAAGAGGAGGATCGTCCTAGAAAGAGAGTATGCCGCTGCCAAGAGGCAGAGGGCAGTGGAGGAGGAGAAAAAGGCTGCTCGTGATGACAGTAGCGACTCATCCGACGACGACGACGTCGCCAAGGAAGCTGAGCGCATCGCCGCAGAGATTCTGGCCGAGAACTCCGACTCTGACGACCAGGCGCTGGCGGATCTGTTTGCGAGCCTTCCGGTCAACGAGGTGGACCCCATCACAGGCAAGTCCAGCACTGTTATGAACAATGCGGACGGCTCAAAGATTACCATCCGGGATTTTGGAAAGTGGACGGGCGTGACGCCCATGCGCGCCTTGGAAGAGGCTTGTCGCTCAAGGTTTGTCCCCTGAGTGTGTGTCCCAGAGACTGGCTAACAAGTTGCGCAGGGACACTGCTGTGCGAATCTCATATCACATTCTGTCTGACGTTGCCTTTGCAAGCAGGCATGCCGTCAAGATCCAATGGTCCAAAACCCAAGAGATTCCCACCCCCCTCGAGAGTACCGAACTCGAAGTTTTTACATTGCCGAATCAGTTCGTCCTCAAGATGACGTCGGTAGCAACACCAGATGCAAAGCAGTCGGAAGCCTACATTGCTACCGCCGCGTTGTTCTTCATCTTCGGTTCCTCGGGCAAGGAGGAAAAGGTGGCTCTGCGGTTGCCCGCAACGTGGAAAGATCTCTGGTCGGAGCTGGCCGAGGCCAAGAAGAACAAGGCCGACGAGAAGGACCGAGAAACTGTCAGGCATCTCCGAGACATGGTTCAGAAGAGAGCCGAGCAAGAGCTTGAGGACGGGGTGATTCTCCCGGGCGCACTCAAGGGGCGAGCGCAGGGCAAGAATTCCACCGACTCGGACCACTCGGACCACGAACGAGCCAAACGCCAGCCGTTTGGCCCCGAGTACTACCAAAACATTTGGTGGAAAAAGGCCCAGTCTCCCCGGTTCCAGCACATGCTGGTAAGTTATCCTGTTGCACCTCCTGGTGGCGTTTGCTAAGTCTGGCAGGGCTCTCGAATGCAGCTCCCCATGTGGCAGTTCCGACAGCAGGTGGTCGATGCTGTTGAAAGGGAACAGATTGTCATCATTTGCGGCGAGACGGGATGGTGAGTTTCTCCCGCCTCCCTAGCAGTTCCCATGCTTACCCCTCGCAGCGGAAAGAGCACACAGGTCCCGTCATTTCTCCTGGAACATCAGCTTTTGCTGGGCAAGGCGTGCAAGATCTACTGTACCGAGCCTCGTCGGATTTCGGCCATTTCTCTGGCCAAGCGAGTGAGCGAGGAGCTCGGGGAAGGGAAGGGAGACATTGGTACGCCCAGATCACTGGTCGGGTACTCGATCCGACTCGAGTCCAGCACGTCGAGGGAAACCCGCCTCGTCTACGCCACCACGGGTATCGTCATGCGGATGCTCGAGGGCTCCAACGATCTTCAGGAAATCACCCACCTTGTTCTCGACGAAGTTCACGAACGCTCCATCGACAGCGATTTCCTCTTGATTGTTCTCAAGAAGCTTCTGCTTCGGCGCAAGGACCTCAAGGTCGTCTTGATGTCGGCGACGGTCGATGCCGAAAAATTCTCGTCATACCTTGGGAATGCCCCAGTTCTGACGGTCCCCGGGCGAACCTTTCCGGTCGAGGTGGCTTATCTCGAGGATGCGGTCGAACTCACCGGCTACACGCTTGACTCACGCCACCAGGAGAAAGTGGTTGAGCTGGACGACGACCTCGAAGCTGAAGCTGACAAGTCGTCGAAGCCCGATTTGATCAAAACGCTCAAGGGCTATTCGCCCAGAACCAGGAATACGCTGGGGATCATGGACGAGTACCGGATCGACTTTGATCTCATGGTTCAACTGATATCTCGAATTGCTACGGACCCCAACTACGCCCCCTACAGCAAAGCGATACTCGTATTTCTTCCCGGTATTGCAGAGATCCGGACACTCAATGACATGCTCTTGGGCGACCGAAGCTTTGCTGACCAGTGGCTTATCTATCCGTTGCACTCGACCATTGCAACGGAGGATCAGGAAGCCGCCTTCCACATCCCCCCTCCCGGCATGCGAAAGATTGTGCTGGCTACCAACATTGCCGAGACGGGCATCACAATTCCCGACGTAACCTGTGTGATCGATACCGGCAAGCACCGCGAGATGAGGTTTGACGAGCGACGCCAGCTGTCCCGTCTCATTGACACGTTCATCTCGAGGGCCAACGCCAAGCAGCGCCGTGGTCGTGCCGGACGTGTGCAGAACGGTCTCTGCTTCCATCTCTTTACCAAGTACCGCCACGACAACGTCATGAGCGACCACCAGACTCCGGAGATGCTTCGCCTTTCTCTGCAGGATCTCGCTATTCGCGTCAAGATCTGCAAGATAGGTGGCATCGAGGACACACTGAGTGAAGCGCTGGACCCGCCCTCGGCAAAGAACATCCGCCGCGCCATCGACGCTCTTGTTGATGTGCGCGCCCTCACCTCCTCGTCCGAGGAGCTGACTCCCCTTGGTATCCAGCTCGCTCGTCTGCCGCTGGACGTCTTTTTGGGCAAGCTCATTCTCCTCGGTGCCGTCTTCAAGTGCTTGGACATGGCCATCACGGTTGCCGCTATCTTGTCGTCCAAATCGCCCTTTGTCGCCCCCTTTGGACAGCGAAACCAGGCCGACACGATCCGGAAGGGGTATCGGAAGGGCGACTCGGACCTTCTCACGGTCTACAATGCATACTTGGCATGGAAGCGCGTCTGCCAGTCGGCGAGCAGTGGTGGTGGCGAGTTTCAGTTCTGCCGCAAGAACTTTCTCTCCCCACAGACGCTTGCCAATATTGAGGATCTCAAGGGTCAGCTGCTGAGTGCCGTCATCGACTCTGGCTTCCTCCAGATAACCACCGAGGAACGCCAGGCACTGAACCGACTTCGGTATAGCGGACGGCGGAGGCAGCAGCTGTTCTTCGAGGTGCCTAAAAGGGTCGACATAAACAGCGACAATGAGCTTGTCTGCCAGGCTGTCATTGCATGGAGCTTCTACCCCAAGCTCCTTGTCCGCGACATCCCCGGCGGCAAGGGTCTGCGCAATGTGGGCAACAACCAGAGCATCAGCCTGCACCCGAGCAGTGTGAACAAGGGCAATAACGAGCTGCGGTGGCTGAGCTACTATCACATTATGCAGTCCAAGTCGTAAGCATGACATCTTTCTTTGACGACTCCGCAGAATGCTAACTACCTGTAACCTTGTAGGCTCTATTACGCGCACGAGTCCACGGCCGTGGATGCCTTTTCCATTGCCCTCCTCTGCGGCGACGTCCGCGCGGATCTGTACTCGGGTGTCCTGATCCTCGACGGCAACCGCGCTCGGTTCGCCATCTCGGACTGGAAGACGATGCTGGTGATAAAGGTTCTCCGGGCGAGGCTCAAGGAGATGCTTACACGGAGCTTTAAGAACCCCGGCAAGCTGCCGACGGCGCAGCATGAGCGGTGGCTGGATGTTTGGCAGCGGATCTTTACGCTGGCACAGGAGAACCGAGAGAAGGCGGCTGCGTAGGGAGCAGTGGCTCACTCTGGGTCCCACAATGTGAGGTGAAGAGGGCTGTGTTGTTGCATGGAGAGTGCGTGGCTTGGGTCGGCCGCCGTGCTTTCTGGCGGGTTTGGGAGTGCGAGCATTTTCGGCGATTTGGTATAGTTGGGAAACGTTGATTTGGCATCCAGAATAGCGAAACCACCTACCTAGATACCAGGTTGTAATGTCATTGCCGCCATGGTCTTTATAGTGCAGGAATTACCAGAGTTTATTTACTGTGATGTCGTGCTACTACTTGTCTCGAAGCTTTCGTGGACGCGATGATGGTCTTGTGCTACAACATGCCTAGGGTGGGATGAATTTTTTATTTTTTTTGAAGAATCGCCCAGATTGGAGGGTGACAGGAATATTTGCCCCCGATGAGATGATGCTGCTGCAGTTGCCAGAGGAAGATATGTGATGATCGATGAGTGACAAAAAATGATGGCTCGTTGAGGAGCTTGTCTGTCCCCTGCCCTCAAAAAAAGGGGTGAAAACATGCAGGGGTTGATGTCGCTTTCTGGTGTTGTGAAATGTGCGCAACGTTGATAAACCAAAGTTTCAAGCATGCACAACATCCAAATAACTCCTGATGGTGTAGTTGGCTATCACGTTCGGCTGTAACTGTTACAAATTGTAACCGAAAGGTCACCGGCTCGATTCCGGTTCGGGAGAGTTAAATTTTTGCCTTTCCAGAGTCTGGAAGCTCTTTTTTTTGCGAAGCATTTGTGGCAACCCCACCAACCACAGTGTGCATTTGGGGTCTTGGCGGGGGGGGGGTTCTGTTTCCCCGCCAAAAACGGGGCTCCACTGCAGCTCACAACATCCATTTCAGGGGTCGCGACCGAGGCCAGGCCATCTTGACGACACCTCCCTCTTGGGCTCCTCTGTATGCCGAGATGGAAGCGATTGGCGCGCTTGGCCTTTTTTTTTTCAGCACCGAAGATGACCTACCAACATAGCATCCGTCCAGAAAACCCGGATTTGGATTTCTTCCCACCTGTTGCCGTCGCATCCCCGAGGGTTCAGCCGCCGGACGGCAGAACATGATGGAATGGCCACCAATGGCCATCCCCAGATCGCCGAGATTGTCAACACTCGACGGGAGATCTTCCGTTTGCCGCGATCGAGAGGGGCTGGCCCCGGCGATATGGCCTCCGGGATGACCGCGACTTGACGGCCGGGAATGGGCCCTCTTCAACACCATAAAGAGGACGGGCGGGGATGGAATCCTGACAGGAACCTCCCCCGCCGTCTCCTCAGTCGCGCATCTTGCAGGACTGCGAGAGGTTGAAAATCCTCAGCGTCAAGCTCCACGACCTCCCTGTCCACGCACAGTGAAAGACAGCCCGGTGCCCATCGCCCACCATGGCGTCGACCACCCTCCTCCTCGCCCACCTCGCCCTCGCCGCCGCAGCCGCTTTCGTCGGCCCGCGCGCCGCCACCCTCACCAACCCCGTCCTGTGGCAAGACCACCCCGACCTCGACGTCTTCCGCATCAACTCGACCTTCTTCTACTCGTCCTCCTCCTTCCACCACTCCCCCGGCGCGCCCCTCCTCACCTCCCCCGACCTCGCCCGCTGGACCCCCGTCTCCCACTCGGTCCCCTCCCTCACCTCCTTCGGCGCCGCCTACTCCCTCTCCTCTCCGGCCAACCGCGCCTACGTCAAGGGCATCTGGGCCTCAACCCTCCGCTACCGCCCCCTCACCGACACCTTCTACTGGCTCGGCTGCATCTCCGGCACGGGCCGCACCCACGTCACCACCCTCAAGGGCACCCGCGGCGGCACCACCCCACCATCAACATGGAACTGGACCTCCTCCTCAACCCCCCAGCTGCCGCAGTGCTACTACGACGCCGGCCTCCTCGTCGACGTCGACGACCCCGCCCAGCCCATGTACGTCGCCTACGGCAACCCGCGCATCTCGATCGCCCAGCTCTCGGTGTCGTCCACCGGCGCCTTGGCCCAGGTCAAGTCGCAGACGGTCTACGACCCCGGCAGCGGCACCACGCTCGAGGGCGCGCGCCTGTACCGCGTCAACGGCACGTACTACATCTTTGCGACGCGGCCGGCCGACGCCGAGTTCGTGCTGCGCAGCAAGTCGGTGTGGGGGCCGTACGAGCGGCGGGCGCTGGTCGAGCGCATCAAGGGGCCCGGGGCGATGGTGAATGCGGGGTTCGCGCACCAGGGGGGGATGGTGGACACGGTGGATGGGAGGTGGTTTTATGTGGCGTTTTTGGATGCGTATCCCGGGGGCAGGATCCCGGTGGTGGCGCCGCTGGAGTGGGTGGATGGGTGGCCGAGGGTGGTGACGGATAGTCAGGGGCGGTGGGGCGGGCAGTATGCGGTGCCAGTTGTCGGGGTGGAGGCAGTCGGCGGGAAGGGGGATGGGGGGGTGGGGGTGGATGAGTTTAAGGGGGGGAGGCTCGGGGAGGAGTGGGAGTGGAATCACGAGCCGGAGAGGAGTAAGTTTAGGTTGGATGGAGCCGGGGGGTTGGTGTTGGGGACGGTGGATGTCACGGGGGATTTGTTTCAAGCGCGGAATACCCTGACGAGGAGGATTGTCGGGCCCAAGTCGGCGGGGACGTTCCGGGTTGACGTCGCGGGGATGAAGGACGGGGATCGGATGGGCGCGGTGCTGTGGAGAGATAAGGCGGCGTATATCGGCGTGTGGAAGGAGGGCAGCGCGGCCAAGGTGGTGGTAGTCACGGGGCTGGTCATGGCCGAGGGCACGTGGGAGACCACGGGCAAGGGGAACGTGGTGGCGACCGGGCCGACGCTGAAGAGCGGCGAGGAGGTGTGGTTGAAGGTGGAGGCGGATATCACGCCGGCGTTTGGGACCAGCACGGAGCGCACGGCGTCGTTTTCGTACAGTCTCGACGGAAAGACGTTTGTCAAGCTGGGGCCGGCGGCCGGCATGACAAACTCGTGGCGGTACTTTACGGGGTATCGGTTTGCCGTGTTCAACCATGCGACCAAGGCCTTGGGCGGGGAGGTCAAGGTTAAGAGCTTTGCGCTGAATATGCTCTAGTGGGGATGGAAGCCATCTTACGGTCTCATTTTGTTGTGTCTGGACGGGTTGGATATCATGGTCGAGCTTTAGTTGCCAATATATTACTACTGTCCAAGCGGTTGAGCTCGCTACATGAGTGGCAGGACATATCGATTCTTTCCCTGGCATGCTCAGAATCCATCGCGTCGAGCTATCCCGTTGCTTGGGAGCTTGCTGGGGGTTTGTCCAGGGCCGAACAACCATGCGCGGTTCCTTGTGCCCAGTGCCCAGTGCCCAGCTTGTACAGAGCACCGGCGTCACCAACCAACCCAAAAGTTCCTCTCACGTTGCTGTACGCGCTACACAAAACCCTCGAGTCCATGTTGCCAATGGTGGGACAGACTATGGTGACCAGACAGGCCACAACTGCGACATGTTGGACGGAATATGGCTACCCCGGGAGCATCGTTGCCTCCACAGAATCGAGGCCACCTCGGGCGTCTTTCTGGGAGCGTGTATCAGGCCTGTTGCGCTTATAAAGCTGTCAAGTGCCCTACAAGAGTTTGAACCGCTTGCCGAGCCACTCGCCCTCATGTCGTAGAAAGCCAGACCAGCCCCAGCTCACAGTAACCCAACGACACGATGCTCTCCCGAGGCCTTTTTTCCCTCCTCACCCTCCTGCCCCTCGCCCACGGCCAGCAAGACCCCATCAAGAAACACTCCTGCGGAGGAGTCAACGTCCTCTTCACGTCCGTCCCCCCTATTTCCCCAACCACGGACACGACCAGCTAACAACCACCCCCGAAGCGGCCTCCCCCCCTACCACCCCCTCGTCAAATCCCAAGGCCTCGACCCGAAACAAGTCGACGCCGCCCTCCGCGCCGACGCCGCCAACATCCTCAAAGCCGGGTACAACCTCCGCGGTACCCCCCCTCCCCCCCCACCCCCTCCCTACCCACAAATAAAACCTAACCCCCTGCGCACCAGTCGTCCTCATGGGCCCAGAGCAAAACATCTCCACCCTCGACCCCTACCTCGACGTCGTCGTCACCCCCGACGCCACCATCCGCCCGTGGCTCGGCGTCGGCGTCGGCTTCGGCGTGCGCGGCTCCGACGCCGAGGAGCTGACGGTGTGGCTCGAGGAGGTGGTCGCGCTGTTCCGACGGCGCGCGCCGGACGGGACCGTCATGTTTGATCGCAGCCCGGGGACGGCGATGGAGGCGGTGGGGAGGAATTTGCCGATGGAGGAGGATTGTGCGGGGGTTGGGAAGGAGGGGGGGGATTTGGTGAGTCCCGTCGTGTTGCCTGCCTTTTTTTTGTGGGGGGGTGCTGATGTGCTGGGGGTGGTAGGGGTTTGAGATTGTTTGTGATGCCGATGTTTGTTGTCAGGACAGTGAGTTTGGTTCCTTCCTCTCTGGTGGATGATTGTGATGTTGAGGGCTGACGCGATGTTTGTTCAGACTGTCAGTATGGTTATCCACCGCCGCCTCACACTAGGCATTGAGACTTGTAGGGCCTGGAGAAGGGGGGGTGGGGATGGTCAACCAGGCAAAGGATCCACGGAAGGGGTTCCAGAGGGATGGTCTTGTAATTGTAATATATACTGAGAAGTCAAGAGTTTGGAGCGTTCCACCTGCAACCCTCGTTACACCATGATGTAGCGGCGCGGATCAGATACATTGCGAGTAGTACTCGTTAACGACCTTGCAGGTCGACCCCCCCGCGCAAGCCGTACATCCCGTCCAGCTCTGCCCGCCGCACTGCCCCCACTGCTGGACCGAGCACCCGCCCGGAGTCCCCGGGTTGCTGCTCGGAGTCGGAGCGGGCTTCTGGCTCGTGCTGGCAACCGGGTTCCCCCCCGACGGCGCCGAGAACACGGGGAAGCTGGCGTCGTCGGACCGCTTGCACCCCGTCTTGGCAGTCAGCTCGCTCGGGCACTGGACCTGCTGGAAGGTAAAGGTCGGGTTGTCGGCGTTGAGGAACCAGTCGAAGCGCCAGTTGCAGCCGGGCTGGAGGGCCGAGGGGAACGACGAGCACTCGCCCCGGGACGAGATGCCTCCGTACCGCTGGCCGGGGAGACCGCCGAACTGGGGCGTGCAGCCGTCGAAGAGGCCGACGCCGCCGCCGGGGATGGCCAGGTCGAAGTGGTTATCGCCGAGGTCGCCGCCGGTGCTGGTCGATTGGACGACCATGGTCTTGCCGGCGACGGGGCCCGAGGTGAAGGTCAGGCTGCAGGATGGGTTAGTCCAGTTGGCAATACAGAGATGGACGAACTTACGCGTAGCATGCGCAGCACCACGATCCCTCGGAACCACCCCGGAGAGCAGTGGCGGCGAAGCCGTAGGCCAGCTTGTCGTTGATGGCCCAGGGGGTCTGGTCGGCGCAGTTGTAAGCCGATCCGCCGTCGCATCCCGAGGCGACGCCGGGATCCGAGATGCGGTTGTTGTTGGCCTGGCAGGCAAAGACGGGCTGGTTCACGGCCGCCTTGCCGGGCCATGAGCACGAGGGCTTGCAGCAGTCCCAGAACCTTGTGGACTTGCCAGATCCCGAGGCTGCTTGGGCAGCGAGGGGAAGGGCGGCCACCAACGAGGCACGGAGGAACTGTGAGGAATGCATTTTGGTGCGGTGTGGCTACGATGACAGGACAAACCATGATGCTACGGCCCATGGCCCTTTTATAC